ATGTTTTAGACATTTTATTTGATTTGTTTAAATAAGTGAAAGAGTAAGGTCTCTGCCGACTAAATTTTCAATCCGTTGGAAAGCCTAATGCAGCATCTGCATAAACATCAAGCTTACCCTAACCAGGGGGTTGTGTGTGTGTGTGTGTGTGTGTGTGTGTGTGTGTGTGTGTGTGTGTGTGTGTGTGTGTGTGTGTGTGTGTGTGCGTGCGTGCCTTACATCAAAATAAAGTAACACAACTGTTAAATTCAATTTAGTGTATTTATATAGTGCCAAATGTTCCAATAATAAATTAGGTTTTCACATATGCTGGTAATGATATTAATAAATAAAGGTTTCCTCATTCAGGTCGGAGTAAAAGAAAAGGTCAGTAAAAGTGCTCATCTTAAAGGTCATTTTCACACATGATTAGAGGTGTGACCAAGTCACTGCTTTGCAAGTCACTAGTAAGTCACAAGCCTTTCCAGTCAAGTCTCAAGTCAAGTCCAAGCCAAAGACAACCAAGTCCAAGTCGAGTCCAAAGTCAATGATGTGGAAGTCCAAGTCAAGTCCAAGTCCTTAACTTTGAATTTTCAAGTCATAATCAAGTCATCTGTCAAAGTTCAATTTAATGACAATGATAATAAATAAATTCCAGAAAAAAAGCTTCTTAAAGCTTCATTTATTTGCTCCAACAAGCAGAAAGTGCAGCTGAAACTGATTGTAAACAAAGAGCTGCTGCATTTAGCGGAACAAGATCACACCCAGAATAAAGAATGATTTATGATTATTGTCCATGTCGGGCCACTTTTGGAATAAAATATCAAATATGCTCAAGTCATCATCAAATCAACAGATGCAAGTCAGTTCAAGTCGCAAGTCATTGGCGTTCAAGTCCGAGTCATTTCGTAAGTCTTTATAGATTTTATCAAGTCAAGTCAGAAGTCATTAAAATAATTACTTGAGTCTGACTTGAGTCCAAGTCATGTGACTCGAGCCCACCTCTGCACATGATCATCTGAGATGTACACAAGGAGGATGTGAGTCATAATTCAGCAGTTGATGTTCACACAAGTACTTCACAGTCGGAGAATTCCTGTTTGAGAAATGCTCCCACAGTGTGAAAAATGATGGAGGGGGAGTGAAAAGCGCAGAGGAGGCAGGAGATGAGTCGAAAGGTGGTTATAAAAATGCCTCGTTGTTATTTTAATATGTAGTTTGTGATTATGATGTAGATTTTACATAGTACTTGAACCTCAGACTTGTATAATATCATCAACACACAATACACCCTTATCTGGAGCTATTCCAACGTGGAGAGTGAACTGAGACTCGTGCTTGGTGTGTATTCCTTCCTCTCCACTTTGCAAAGTCTATATTGATTGTTTATGATTTGAATTGGTGTTGCTTGATTGATTACTATAACCCCCTGTGCATTAAACTTCCCCTAAGGTAATCCTGGATTGATAAAATTACCCAACAAGGTTCATCTCAGTACTGATCTGGTGAGTAATGCAGCAGTTAAGCTTGTGCATTCATAAATATAACAAAGGTTTGTGTTGCTAGCCCCAACTGAAATCAATCTGCACACATCAAAAGACAGATCCTGAGATCAATTATTGACCTTCATCTATCTTTAATCACCCATTTACACAATACATGAAAAAAATGATGCTGAAACATGGATATTTATTGTTTTATTAGATGATTAAAGAGTAATTATTTGTCCTCTGAAATGTTAATGAGATAGCTATCCTTGAGTTAATCTTAAGTGTGTTTACATTTCAGTCCAAATATTCCACAATTATTATTATTTTTTGATGCAACACAAAACGTTATACAATGATAGATGCAGTGCTGTATATAATTCATAATGATATGATGTGATGTGATACAATAGGATACATCCACACATCAACTGTCTATACCCGCTTGTCCATGCAGGGTCGCTGGGGGACGGGGCCTAGCTCCAGCAATCTCTAGGCGAGCAGGCGGGGTACATCCTGGACAGGTTGCCAGTCCATCACAGGGCAACACAGACACACACAGGACAAACAACCAAACACACACACACACCTAAGGTGGTTTTAGAGAAATGAATCAACCTGACAGTCATGCTTTAGGACTGTGGGAGGAGAGAACCCACAGGTGCACAAGGACAACATGCAAACTCCATGCAGAAATGCCCCAGGTTGGGATTTGAACCCGCCACGACCTTCTTGGTGCGAGGCTACAGTGCTGCACCACTGTGTAGGATACAATATTTTACAATTTGATTAAAACAAATAAATAAACTCTTAAAGTAACCACTTACAGTGCAACATAGTCCATGATTGTCAAATTTGTCAAAACACACGTGCACATTTAGAAAAAGGTTATGGTCTCTGCTATTTACCTAGAAACATAAAGATCAATCCCATTCAGCTTTTGAAGGCATTGTTAAAATGCTGATTAAAATGGGAAAGAAAATAACTTTCTGAATTAATTCATTCTCCTAATGAGAATGTTTAGCCCCGCTGCCAAAACTCAAAAGCTCATGCTGCAAATGAAGAATGTGTGACGAGCTTTTGTGGCGTTTTCGAGAACAGAGTGCTCATAAAATGGATGAAATCCCACCATATCCAACTTAACCTCTCTAAAACTGAACTACTTGTCATCCCAGCAAAACCATTCATACAGCACAATATCTCATTCCAAGATGACTTCCTATCTCTGGCTCCTTCAAAGGCAGTTTGAAATCTGGGTGTTGTGATTGATGAACACCTGACCTTTAAAGATCATGTTGCCTCTGTTGCTCGTTCATGCTGCTTTGAGCTGTATGACACACGAAAGATCAGACCATACCTAACACAACATGCCACCCAGCTCCTGGTGTAATCTACTGTCATCTCCCGCCTCGATTACTGCAATGCCCTTCTAACTGGTCTTCCAGCCTGTACTGTGAGACCTCTTCAAATGGTCCAGAACGCAGCGGCGCGTCTGGTCTTCAATCAGCCAAAAAGAGCACACGTCACCCCTCTGTTCATTGAGCTCCACTGGCTACCGCTAGCAACACGCATCAAATTCAAATTGCTAACACTAGCATACAAAGTCCGAGATGGTACGGCCCCCATCTACCTGAATCCTCTTGCGAAGGCTTACGTCTCGGCCCGGCCGCTCCGGTCATCACGGGATCGTCGGCTAGCAGTGCCTACACCACGCTCAGGACAATCCAGACTCTTCTCATGCATCATTCCACAAATGTGGAATGACCTACCAAGCACTACCAGAACAGGAGCTTCCTTTTCAATTTTCAAGAAACTCCTGAAGACCCTGCTCTTCAGAGAGCATCTTCTAAACTAGCACCTTGCCTGCACCCGTCCCCCCTCTCTACCGTCCCCCCCTTGTTCCCTACTCTCCATGACTGATGTCAATGTTGTTGTGGTTGTTGTTAGCCTAAAGGGCAATATGCCGATTATCACTTGTAAGTCGTTTTGGACAAAAGTGTCTGCAAAATACATAAACATAAACATAAACATAAATTTCCTGGTAGGAGATGTGTTCAGTCCCCATTACCTGCTCTGCATTTCTTAAAAGCACTGGATTTTTTTTTCTGTTTGCAACAACAGATTTATAAACTAGACATAATTTTTAACACTGAAGTGGCAGCTCCAAGTGCCATGAATGCTGGGAATGAGAAGCAGACTGAAGAACAGTACTGATGGGAAATATCGCACGAAGGATCAGAGGGATGTGGGAAGCATGAGCTTTCATCTCCTTGCATCTCCTCTCCAGGCTATCAGTTATTGATTTAATGTTGAACGTTCCCATGCAGACTCCAGCTAATAACACAGACAGTGGTGTAGGGATTTGTAATTTAATAAATAGCATTACAACACACATGTACACACACTCAAATATGTACACACAGGATGCTATCACAGACAGCATACAGGACGTCCAGCTGATGGTGCATTATGTGGATCAGGACGTGATCTTGAATTAGATATTTGACATTAAATGTAACATTTATTATAGATTTCACACATCGACACTCTTCCATTCCTCCATTTTAACCTCATCCTTCCCGGCCGTCGCCGCTCAGAAATCAGCATTTTTCTTCCCCAAATCTGTGTGAGCCTGCTTGTCACTCTTTGCAACACTTCATTCTCACATCCTTTCCCAACCATGACATTCCCTCGCTCCCCCTCTAAAATCACCTTAACTGTCTCTCCATCTGTGCTTCCTACTCAGTGAAATGACTATCCCTCTATCTCACCTCCTCTCTCCTCCTCTCTCTCTCTCTCTGTCTGTGTTGGTCTGTCGGTGTATTACTAACACGCCAGACAATCGTGGGAAGCATGTCTTTGTGGCTCCAATTCATCTTTCTCCTTTTTTAGTCTCCATACCTGCCGCATTCACCGGTCAACTTCACTTGTCTGCAGCAGTTCTCTGCAGCAGGCTCACACACACACCTACAGCACACACACACACACACACACACACACACACACACACACACACACACACACACACACACACACACACACACCTACAGCACACACACACACACCTACAGCACACACACACACACCTACAGCACACACACACACACACACACACACACACCTACAGCACACACACACACACCTACAGCACACACACACACACACACACACACACACACACACACACACACACACACACACACACCTACAGCACACACACACACACCTACAGCACACACACACACACACACACACACACACACACACACACCTACAGCACACACACACACACACACACACACACACACACACACACACACAAGGGGACACAACAAATGACCATTCAAAGTTAAGACTGCTTAGGTTTGCAGCAGATGACCATCATTTGCTGCATAACAACCATAATTTGCAAGCATGGTATTTATTTCAGACTGACAACCATTAGAAGTGAAAATGGCAGATTCATATAGATGATGCAAATACAATGACACCTCCTGTAATGCAACAAAATGCAGTCGCTGAAGGGTTACTTACAGCATTTGATGAAATGGTAGTAAGACATTTTCTGGATAGGTCAGACAGTCCGCCAGGCAGGCAGGAAGGTAGGCGGGATGTCAGTAAGTCAGGCAGGCAGTAGGCAGCTACAGGTCCCAGACAAACTAACTAATGCAGAGCTCGTAACCGGCACGATGCATTATTAATCTGGCTCCTTGCATGCTATCCAAACGCTGTTCCTCTGTCTGCATTATTCACCAGCAGCAGTGCAGCTCCAGTTGCAGCTCATGCAGCCTCTACATCACACAGTTCCAAACTCCCATCCAAACACACGCACACACACACATTCTCCCACAGATGCACAGCACTCTCCCTTGGTCAACCCCTTCTGCAACAAGGAGCTGCGGCTGTCTCTCTCTTCTCACCCACAGCCAGAAAACCTCTGCACAGCGTCTACCCTGCCATAGCCGATGCACGTGTTCCACTGGCGTCACTGACTGACAGCCGGCTCATCCCTCCTCTCACTCAACACACCCCCATGACGCAATGCTCTTCACCTCCTTACACTCCCCCTTCTAGTCTCATTTTCACTCTAGCACACGGATATGAGAGATGCATGCAAATGAAAGCCTTTAAGATCCATTTTCTGATAAGAAGGGTCACTGTGAGGGATAATTGCCCTTCATAATATTGTGAATATAAGAGTCATAGACGGCGTTGAAGAGGATTTGCGGATAGATGAAAGGACTGGAAATTGAAGAAAGGCAAATACAGTAGGGGGAGCAAGAAGAAAAGGAAAAAATAAGCAAGCAGATGCAAGAGATGAGACGAGAAGAGCATTACATTTGACAGAAGGACAGCTACAAACAGAGAAAGCAGAAGCTGCTGCAGTGCGGCTTTTGGTGAGATGACAGGTTAGGTGCTCAGCCCCAAATTAAGTAAAGATAAGTGTTGGTTTACTCGAATGGAGGGCTGCTCACCCATACGTTACACACGCAGCATGATGTAATGAGAATTATGTGCTTGCTCTGCTAGTATCTCTATAGGAAAACCTCTGTGACTCGTTGCTTTAGGGCTGATTTGATTTGCATTCATGAATATGTTCTCTGCATTAAGAAAGGCTTGCAGAATAAAGGTTAGAATGTTAGTTTCAAAAAGAGAAAAGGTGAGAAGAGAGATAGATGAGCTCAAAGTATGACTAAAGAAGGACACACATTTTGGTAATTGGATCTCACCGACTGCTGGTCAATGTTTAGATGTACAGTATTGGTGCTCATGACACGTTTACAAGAGGTTTTATATCCAGCCGGGTTCAGGGGAATATAATGTAATTATGAGCAAATTGCAGCAACCATGCAACTGATGTGCAAAGTTTTTGATGCAATTTAGTCACAAAAAGGCTCACTTATGTTTGCATTTGTTTGAAGTTTATTCGCATTTTCACGAATGTTTCAAGAGATTTGCAAAACCTTGTCATGAGTTGATTCATAATTCGCCACTAAACCCCACCGCTCCGTTAGATTCTGGCCCCCGTCATCTGAGAAATTCAAAAGCCATTATTTAACCACTGATGTCAAAAGTGAGCACGGGGCGCCAGTGAGGTTTGCTCTGTGATAGTGAAAGCAGAGGAGCAACAAAGTGAGCTTAAAAGGGAATGAAAGAGCAGGGTGTGTGTGTGTTTGTAAAACGTCTGGATGCTCGAGTACTTCTCATCGTAGGAAATCAGGTCAAAGGAACCACCCGTCGCATTTGCTTCACGTCGAATTTGCTTCACGCCACTGGCCTGTACCTGTTTAGGTGCTCAAGTGAATGTAAGCATGCATTTATGTAAGAGAGTGGTATGATTCCAGAGCAACAAGCTTCAGACGTGCAACGACAGACTCATTCACACCCTCACTGCCCTTGCTAGTCAGTAAGTGTAGTATTCTTTCAAGCAGAAATAATGCAATGTGTGCCACATCAACACTTCCCTCATGACATAGACCCTGCAGCACAAGATCTGACTGGGGAATGTCCTGTGTCTTTTTCTAAATGTCAGTAAGCAGTAATGGCTCGTAAATTATTTGTATTTGCACCTTCGGCAGTGTAATGTGTATGAAGAGGTGGCGACATGGTTGCAACAAAAGGTGTAACTGGTTTTATATTTGAGTTATTTTCCTAACAGGCATCGTTTGTGTAAACGTAACAACAACAAGATAATGTACTGATGTCACATACTTATGCTTCCCACCTCCCTGCTGCTGCAACTGGGTCAAACTTGGGTGGCAGCGATAGAGTGAAGACAATAAAGTCAATAAATATGGGCTTCATATGCACAACGTATTTAAAACGTATCACCAGGGAGAAATTGTTTGACAAGAAAGGATGTTTGGAGCGTTCGTATTACAGTAATCCCTCGACAGTTCACCCTTCGCGACTTAGCTGTTTGGCAAATTTTTTCTCGCCCATTAAATAAAAAGCGAAACAACAATTGACACAAAAAAAAATCCAATCCGAAAATGGAAAAGCTAGGCAAAAGGAACAAAAGAACCAACCAGCAATTGGGAGAGATGGGACTTGACGAGCAAAGAACTTTACAGAACTTTCTTTACAGTAAGTATACAAACAATATGTAACGGGAAACAGGCTTCAACAAAAGCGGTTGTTTTCCGCTTGGTCGTAATGTTTTAAAAAGAAACAACTGAACTAATCACAAAAGTAACTCATCTTGAATCAGGCCTGAAATGATTAGTAAAGGTTTGTTTTTCCTGCATCTTGAGGTCGTTTCTTGATTTCTTGATGCAGGTTTTGATTTTCCTCATCAAAACAAAAATCAGATTAACTGGCCACAAGGCATAATATTAGGTCTGGAGAGAAGGGGGGTTCTCTCCAGACCTAATAGTATGCGTCTCACAACCATCATAATGTAATATAATGCAGCAGGACTCTGGCAAATTAGGACATTTTTAGTCAATCTTGGTTTTGTTTTTTGTTTGATGTTCATCCTTTTTACCTAGGATAGCACCATGCACTGGACCTTGTTCTGGCTTTCTGAAACCTTGTCAGGATGCAGCTAAATGCTGGATGATCATTCATGCATGGTACTGATGATGTGATGGAGTTGAAGCTTTATCATGGATACAGTGTGGTTAGCATGTTGGGCCCCTTCTACACCGTCGCAGATAAACAAGGCTGAAATTAGTTTTCTCTACAGGGCTGGGCTTTGTTTTGGAGGTAAGGTTAGAAGCTTGCTCATCCTGGAGACGCTCACAGTAGATCTGCTGCTCCTCCACATCGAGAAGAGCCACATCAGGTGGCTTGAGCATCAGAGCCAGCGTTCATAAACGTTGTTGTTTCACACATTTACCTCTTCACTCGTTGCTTGTGATGAAAGGGACTCCGGTGTGCTTTTCGTTTTGCTGGTAGGCGAACGCAGAGCTGCCAACTTTTGAACATTCCAGCTCGTGAGAGCGGAGGGTTGGGGTGGGCATGGACCGTCTGCCCACCGACGGAGCAGAGGGGAGGGGTATTGATTGCTCAAAGTGACATATTGGAGGTGTGGCATGTGCAGAGGGTCAAACGTGTGTTTCACGCTCAGTGCGTGAGAGTTTGCAGCCCTGTGAACAATCTGACAAAGTACTGATTCAAAAATTGTGCTTTTCTCCCAGGGATTTTTGACCCTAATGGCCATCCGTTGTTAACACTCCCAGAGAGCAGTCATTTGACGGTACCCCCTATGTCTACAGAGGGCAGCCACTTGACTATGTTGTTTTATTTAGTATCCTTAAACACTTGTGGTCTTTGTTTAGTAAATGTGGCCATTACAGGTTTTCTGAATTGCTGAAACACTAAACCTGATTCTCAAAACTGACTGAGTTATTATTTTAAAACCAAGCAGTCAAGTCAAGTCAAGTGTGGCAGCTGGGAAACATTCAAATCTCCTAAAAGCAAAGGAAACAAACACAAATGAGCTGACCTACTGCTTATCACAACAACTAAGCAAACTTTAGGATGGAAATGATAACAGTAATGTTTTGATTTCTCTATTAAAACACAAGGACGGAGATGTGGAGCAGAACATCGATCATTCGGTTAGTTCCGTTTATTTACAAAGTGCTGATTTACCACAGAGGTCATCTGAGGGCGACACACAGAAAAATGACATGCAGTCTATTTCTGTCTAACCCACTTGTTAGAGGATTCCAGACTTGTTCTATTCATTCAACTATCATAAATTCTACTATGGTTTTCTGTTCTAAGCACAAAGGTGCAGATTAAACAGAGCAGATCATGTTTAAAGTGACGTTGTGTATTTTGCCTGACAATAGGGGGCAGTACATACCTAATTCATTGCACGCAAGGGATAATTTTTTTTTATTTTATTTATTTTTTTTTTACCGTGTCCTGTCTGGCTGTGAAGCAAGCAGAATTGATGTCTGAATGCTGGTGTCAAGCCTTACAGATTTACTCTCAGGTGGAGCATCAAAGCGTTTGCTTTTAATGTCACGCCTGATACTTAAAACTTTATTGTTATTGTTGTTGAATGCATTGTAATTCCGACCAGACACGGAGACAGAGGTGAAAGAGAAAGGAAAAGAAAAGGTGGGGAGAGAGGGGGGGGGGGGTCCACAAAAATAAACAATGAACAAGAGTCTGCTTCTAGACCTGCAGAAAACGAGAACAAAAAAAAAAAAAAAAGCAAAGGGACAAAAAAAGGGACACAACAACAATACAACAAGATCTAGCTATCACTGCGTGAACTTGATGAAAAAATATATAATCAACATTGCTTAACTGAAGAATCACGATAATAAATCACAGTGCATCAAGTGCCCACCATAGTCTTAAGACCTGTGTTTAACATGCCCAAGCCCATACTTTTGAGAGCACCATGTGAGCACCTGTGTGTGTACACGCGCTTGTTTATTTAAGGTTTCTCTATAGAAGCGTCCAACAGAGAGTGTGAGGGACCACAGATCCGCCCCCCAAAGATGCGCAGGAGACGGGGGGAGCTCCAAGTCACAGAGATCCAGGCGCTGCCCCAGAACACAGGAACCCCAAGGAGACTGCAACCAGAAAGGCCCCCACCCCCCTCCGAGATGCACAGAGGATCGCCCCGGGGGGCCACAACCAGCAGCCGGCAGAGTCCCGGCAGATATCAGCGGCAAGCCCACAGGCCCGCCCGCAGCCTCCCACCCCCTAGCCGGCCGAGCCCGGGACCCAGCGACCCGGGACCCAGGGGCGACCACCCCCGCCGGGGACCCAGCAGAACCCAGGGATCCAGACCCCACCAGGCAGCCACCGGGATTGATCAGGCAGATGCCAAAATCTTAAACCCCCAGACCCGGTTGCCACGAACACTCAGGCAGACCATGGCACAACCCCTCACACCAGGTGTGGCAGGGGGAGGGGGGGACAAAGATCTATATCATCAAGAGAAGTTCCAGGAGAGGGGAGGAGTCAAAGGCCCCACCTGACATATACAGTCATACACAAACACAGTCACACGCTCCCTCTCTCATGCTCACACATGCACATACAACCCAAGACTTACAAAAATGCACGCCGGACACCCACTCATGCTCCCCATACACACCCTATTCACTCTGGTCCCGGTACTGCTGCACATTGGGTACCGGTAACCGGAGTTTGACCCTTTCTGCTGGGGTGCTGATGAGCAGGCTCCCCCGCCCAACGCTGAGCACAGCAACCCACCACCCCAGACCCCAACCAGACGGCCAGATCTCCCTCCTAGCCTCCAGCCCCAGGAAGCCAAGCAACAACAGAGGTGGCAAAGACCCCTAGTCTCCCTCTGCCTGCTCCAATATAGTGTTGTGTGATCATGAGGTGTATTCCATGGCTGTGGTGACTGGGCAGTGTGGGCATCATCCGGCCTATGCCCGCTGATGCCACCGCACCACCCCACTTACACCTTCAGCCATCAGTGTCTAAGTGCGGTTTAAAATTGGAATTGGGCACTGGCACCCGGGAGGAGGCTGAAATATTCCCCTGCCAAATGCCGTTGAATGTGCTCACTCCCAAGGCCCTAAGTGTGTGTTTGTGTGGAATGTCGTCAGTGGAAGCGTAAATGGTGCAAATAAAATTGGGGGGCAGGTTGCCACAGGAATGCGGAAATGGGGTCCATACCCGCACTCCCTGACTTGCCCACTCCCCAAGGTCCTTTGTGCATGTTTGTGTGATGATGTGAGGGAGCAGGAGGAGAGAAATATATGGGGATGGGGAGGAATGGCTGGTTGGGCTTAGCCTTCCAGGGAGCCAGCTCCCCTACTGGCCCCAATAGGCACCTCTGTTGTCAAACTGCCACCCAGGGCATGGAGACCCCAGCCCATCCTGCCAGGGCCCAAAGCAGCAGCATTACAGAGCCTCACGGAGTCCGAGGGCACCAACCCAGCCCCACCCCAGCAGAATATCTATGCCCATCCCTGCATTTGCACATCTTCCAGAATATATAAGACATGGGACAATGGGATAATTTTGTTAAGTCCTTACCAACGGATGGCCAATAGGGTCAAAATTGTCCAGCAGCGCAACCTCCAGCAAAATGACAAGCACATCATCACTGGCAACCAGTGAAAAGATAAATGTGTAAAACAACAACGTTGATGAACGTTTAGTAACTTGTTACAAATCAGTAAATGTGTTTTGTCCTCACAGGTTCCTGTAGAATGAAACATGTCTAATGTGGCATCGCCCAGAGGCACCTGCTCAATCCGTGTATCATTCGATCTTTCTTTTTTTGACTGAAAACAAAAAAGTCACCACAGGAAAAATGGGTTTGTTTTTTGTTTTTTTGTTTTATGAACCAAAAAATTGTGTTTTTCGTATTTAGTTTTCTTGTCTCTAATCAAGAAATTGAAAAATTTTAATATTTCATTTCTCAGGTTCATGAGGACAGGTGGTGTAGCGATGTAGGTTAAAGCTTACGGAGTTCACACAGACGTCAGGATACCTTGTTAGGAAAACAGTCCCCCGGGTCAGGAGGGGATTTTTTTATGTAGTAAGAATTAGTTTATGACTGCAAGGGTACGGATTCATAATCTGTTGCTGTGGCAACGGACTGACACAAGCTTCCTCTGCATTGGGATGCTGTAGTTCTCCAGATTGTTTTCTTGCTACATTTTCTAAAATGTACTCTTTTCTGCACGGAGCTTCACCAACAGCGTGGGACTATATTACTGTAGGAACACAATCCATAATGGGGTTTTAGAGCCACGTTTTAAAGGAATCAGTGACTTTGAACATCAGGAAGTGGATGATGCTGTGACATTTTTAGTTTAGGCTCTGATTTACAGATTAAAACAACACATAATAATGCTCTGTACCAGGTGGATGGATGGGCAGGTGGGTGCAGTGTGTGTTCTCACCCTGCACTTTTTGCAAGTGAGGTCACCAACAAAGACTGAGTGGAATGTCAAATTAGCTTCCATGTCAGTTTCCCTCTGTTCCTGTATATTTACACACACACACACACACACACACACACACACACACACACACACACACACACACACACACACACACACACACACACACACACACACACACACACACACACACATGCACACCTTACACTAAAGTTATGATTTGATTTCCATTTGTTACTTTATCCTGTTTGCATATGTAATGAAGCACCAAGCAGACCATTTCTGGGACTTTTTTCCAGCCTGTGTGTCCATTCTGTTGCAGCAAGATGTTTAGGAGGATTTCTGGTCAGTGGTGGGAGAGGAGTGCCGGACAACACTCCAGATCAGTAGGTGGCGGTGGCACACCTCCTGTTGTTTGCAGATGGCCATAAAACCCCTAATAGAAGAAGGATAACTTGAATAGGTAAGTTTTTATTCATTTTAAAACGTTGATGAAGTATATGAATATTTCATAAGATGCAAATGTGATGGATAAAAATGTTCATTCTGAGCTACAGGTTTATTTATTTTGTTTGGTCAAATACTGTATGCATTACATGCTTGAGCATTACTCTTTACATTTACAACGTGTTGGTTTGTAGTTTGGGTTCAATAGATGGTTTCAGTAAATGTAGTAACCACCCGCCACCAGCAGAGGGGGTTTAACGGTAGTGAGCCATTACAACGATCACGGCTCTCCTCCCTCAGTCAGTTCACGCCTGAGCAGAGGAAACAACGTGTGTGTGTGTGTGTGTGTGGCTCATTCATTAAAAACTCGTTCTCAGGACTGTAACACAAACAAATAAAACAATTTGAGCAACATTTGAAATGTTATGTACTTATAGTCTGAGGTGAGCTGACAATTTAAGTTGCCGTAAACAAACTTTTTAGGTGGTTTTGGTAGCCTGGCAACAGGAAACAAACCACCTGTTCCGTGGTTTTTATTCTGAAGTGTTGGGGGCGGGGAAACAGGGCCAGCTTCTGCAACAACAGAGCCAGCGTCTACAACGGTAGTAGTGTCAGCATCAGCAGCGTAGCCAGCGTCAGCTTCCTTGGGGGCGGGGCATATATAGGTCCTTTGATGCATCATAGAACCTCATTAGTGTAATGACCTCAGTCAGTGCACACAGCCTCACGACAAGCTCGTTAGCAGATATTCTTGTTTTGAGAAACGGAGAACAGTTTATGATGGAAACTCATAATCATCGTGTGAGAAAGCTGATTAATCAGTTTGACACTGAAATCACTTCAGTATCACAAAAGATTGATATCACTGGTTTGAAAGGCTCTACAAGTGGAACGGTGAAACGTCTTGTTAACTTCTTTGAGAACACTTTGTTCAAAACTGCAACAGAGAAGATTCAGTTGAAAAGTACTGAAAACTCTGTGGATAAACCAGCTAACACCACCGGAAATCTCATCAACCAAGTTAGCAACACAGATTCAGTCCCAGCTATGGCACCAGATATTCAGTTCTCTGTGCAGAAAAGCCCAGCTGTGGGCAAAACGGTGGCCAGTCTGATAAAACAGTTTGACAATCCTGGAAATACATCAGTTCCAGTCGCCACAGGAAAGATTTTCATCCAAACTAATGAAAAGTTTATTCAGAAAGTGGAGTCTTTACAGCACGACGTGACAGATGATCTGCACATCAATGGTCATCAGAGACCTAAAGAGGAGTCTCTCTCTTCACCGTCACTGTTTGATGTCGAACAAGCAGGCGTTAAACGGGCAGAGACTCGTTCTGAGAGTGAATTTCATGACCTCTGGAGCAAAAACGAAATGATTACTTCTGCCAACAGTTATGATATCAGCTTTTATGTGTCATCATCAAGCAAAGTAGGAGACACCCAGTACGTCAAACCAGAAAGTGTTTGGTCTGTGGACGACAGTAAACCAGTTGAACAACCGACGTTAAAGTTAGAGAAAGGTCTGGTTATTAGAAATGGATCGAGTGCTTACACGGTGGAGAAAGTGCTCGGATCTGGCTCGTTTGGAGAGGTGGCCAAATGCACAAAAGTGGGAACCAATGA